AAAAAATAATAAATGATACAAAACAACGTTGATTTTTACCTAATTTCGTATTTTTTCGACGCATTTTAACAAAATCTTACTAAAAAAGTAAATTAGAAAAAATTTAAATCAAAAATCAAAATTTAAAAATAAAATTTAGACGGTAAATTAGATTCCTGTAATTTGCGCTGACGTTTCTATCAGACACAGGCGACTCGTTAAATATATTAACAAAAAAAAATAATTAATATCCCCTATCACAAACATGCACCTCGTTAAATAAACAAAAGAGGTGAAATAGTAAAATATAAAAATATTCTCTTTTTGGTGAATTTAGAAAAATCCAAATAATCAAATTTTGGGAAAAAATTACCACGATAAAATAGATTCTGTAATTTATGACGTTTCTGTGAAACATAGGCGACTCGTTAACAAAAAAAAATAAATATGGAAAATACAAATTGTCAAATTTAAAAAATAAAATTAGGACGGTAAGTTAGTTTCCTGTAATTTGCGCTAACGTTTCTATTAAACATAGGCGACTTGTTAAATAGACAAAAGAAGAAAAAAAAATACTCCCTTTGTGGTAAATCCGAAAAATCTAAATAGTCAAATTTTCAAAATAAAATTAGGTCGGTAAAGTAAATTCCCCTCGTAAGATAAACAAAAGGAGTAAAATAGAATACAATATAAATATATCCTCTTTGTAGTAAATTTGGAAAAATCCAAATAATCAAATTTTGAAAATTAAACTAGGACGATAAAGTAGATTCCTGTAATTTGCTGACGTTTCTGCCAGACATGGGCGACTCGTAAAAAGGGGTGAAAACAAAAAACTTACCCTCTTTGTGATGTGCACGACTTCCATCAGTTTTTTCTTATCTTCCGTTTCCGTTTTGAGCCTCAAAACCACTTCGTCGCCGTCGAAGGCACGATTCCGGTCCAAAACCGACGAAATCACATAATCTGACTTGGAAACATCCTCATTCCCCACATAACTCTCCTTCGCATTTTTGGGATTAATCCTGATGTATCCCTTCATCAATTCCCCTTTCTCCAGCCCGGATTCGACTTCCGCCTCGCTCAAATACTCCGGGAACAAAACCGGATCCTTCCGCTTTCTATTCTTCTTCCCGGAGCTAGATTTCCGGATTCCGTTGATTGCCAAATTTGAGATCTTCTCCAACAGGGACGGATTGGGAACACAGCTGGGGGGCCTCGAGTGAAATGTGGCGTTTTTGAGCAAGGATTGGAGGTTGATGGGGCCTTGGGACTTGTCTCTGAGCTTGTAGACAGTGGCATGGGGGCTACCGACCGGTTGAACGTGGAAATAAACTGGCAGTGGGGTCACCGGTTCGGTCTCAGGGGGCGAATCCGAGGCTTTCCTGGAGCGGTTTCGGGGCTTACGACGCGTGCGTTTTTTCTTCTTAAGCTCACTATCGGTGGTCTCTGGTGTCTTTGAAGTGCTTGGTCCCGGGGAATTTGTCATTTCGGTTAGTTTTCGGCGATGTAAAAGTGTAAAAATATTGTGAAATTTCGGTAAACGTCACATTTTTCAAGTGTCAAAAAAGTGGGGTTAGATAAGAGTCGCCCAAACAAGTTTTGAATAACAATTTATTAAATTAAAAAAATATATTTACAATTCATTGCCGCACATTGTATCACAAGCACATTAAAATCTCAGTTGTAATAATTTATTAAAACCTCAAAATCCCAAAAAATATCACAAACGTCACAATTTTCAAGTGTCAAAAAAGTGAGGTTATCTATACAAAGCGCTTAATTTAAAAATTTATTAAATTACAAAAATTTACAATTCGTTCTCGCACATTGTGTCAAAAGGACACTCCAAATTCTTGTTGTAATAATTTATAAAAGTGTCAAAGTCGCATAAGTCACTGTTTGGACAACTTTGTAAATGGACAATGTCCTCCTGGTGCATTGTCAAAACCTTTTTTTGGCCTTTACAACTATAAAAAAATAATTTAGTATTATCAATTACCTAAAAGGGTGACTTACTCAAATAAAATAAAAATTAAATTGGTGCCAAATGAGTCAATTTGGCTCACTTTCCAATTTCGGTCAGAATTTTTATCAAAATCATCGGCCAATAAATGATTTTTCTCTTTGTACAACTCTAAATGGGCCAACATTTTTAATAAAGTCCCAGAGTGAGTGAAATAAACTGTTGATTTCGGAAAACTCTCGTTCCTACAAAAATTTTAATAAAAATTAATTAAATCATAAATTATTAATACGTTTGGAAAAATTCAATCATGTTGGTCAAAGCAGGACATGCTTGTTTATACGTCAATTCGTGTCCATAGCCATCTATCCAATAGTATTTCAAATCTTCGGCATATTCCATTACCTAGTAATAATAATAGTAATAATAAATAATAATTATTTTAAAAGTACTTTAAAATCATCGGTGCTAAAAACCGAACACCAGGGTGACCTCTTCCTCTTATTCCAAGCCGTTTCAAACGCACAAGTCATATACATTGCATGAACATCACCTAAAAATCAAATTGGCTGAAAATAATTTCAAATTTCGCGCCTTACTAAAATCTAGTTCATTATCAAATCCCAGTCGCTTGTTAACGCCATCTATTGTTTTAGTCATAGTGGCGCCATTTTCAAATTTGATTCTTTCATTCAAAGCTTTCGGATTTTTACTGACTTCCTTCCTCCACTTGTTACACAATTTATAAAACTAGACACACAATTATTAAAAAAAAAAATATTTTATTTACTCACCCTCAAAACAGGATCTTTCTTCAAAGGCTCAGGAAAATTGATATCTTTAACAACATTTCGCCCGAAAAGTCCTGCAGCGAACGCCTGTGCACTTTTTTTCGTCCTTTGGGTGGCAGTAAACTTAAACTGAAAAAAATCCCCAAGTGATTCATTCCCCCAACACTGATACCAACCTTAAAGGCTGAATCGCTGTAAACACTCGTGAAAATCCCCGGAAAACGACTTTGCAACCTCTCGGCTAGAAAAACCATCTCGTCTTCACCCTCATGTGTGAGTTTTTTCTCGTCTTTGGCCTCCAATTTAGGGCTCCACCCCCGAAACAAGTCCAAATCGAAATTTTGAATCTCGCCGTTTCCCTCCGGGAAATTCTCAAGAATCCCGTCACGAATTTCCACAAGTCGCGTGTTCATCCGGTCAATTAGCTTCGCATTGGGGTTCCGGGTCCCGTGGCGCACCATAGCCCACAATTTAGTCGCCTTGCAGTCTTTGAAAAATTGTTAATTGTTACACTAAATTCGGGGATTTTCTTACCGTCATATTTTATTTCATTAGTGGTGTAATTAGCCACGATTCTGTACGGTGTTTTAGTGCCTAAATAAGTCTCATAATCGTTTAATGCTTTATTACATTTTTTGTCGCTCCTCACGACACAAAAAAACACCAAAAAAATGCACAAAACGTAATTTGGGGCGCCGAAAATTGCCATTTTATACGTGGCGAGTCTGGTGGGTCTGTCACAACGGTACTAATGGTCTCATGGGTCTTTCAAATCCATTTTATGGAGAAAATAGGTGAAAGCACCGTTATTATAACCTCAAAGATGGATGACAGCTGACAAATTGTAAACAATTTTGTTTTAGAAAAAAAACAAATAATTAAATACAGGTGCTTTAAATGAGATGGATGTCTTATGTAATACTATGTGTAATTATATGTTTAATAAAATCGTTTAGTAACATTTATTGTACATTATTGTTTAAATTATATCAATACAAATTTCGCGGTTTCTGGAATTTGCTCAAATACCTGTCACTTTTTATATACATAACCTCACTTTTTCAAATTTTGTTTTATGAACTTTTCGTTGAGAAAACACCTAAATAGAGCACCAAACTGTTTAAAACACGTTCAATTTTTCACAATTCTACATAATCTTCGAAGTGGTGTAGCTGTCAATGTCATGGAGGCGAGTCCAAGTCAGGACAACAAAACAGACTTGTCTCGCTTTAAAATGGCCCCAAAACGCAAACTCTCACGATTGCAAGTCTCCGAGACACGGAACAAGAGCACCAAGCGTGACCATATTACAATTGGGTCAAGGGAAGGCCCCCCTGAATGGGAAAAAACTCTTGCTAATATAAGAGAAATGCGTAAGAATTTTGACGCTCCTGTCGATTCTATGGGTTGTGATAAGTGTCAAGAGGAGTCGGCAAGTCCTGAAGTACTGTTTTAATCCCCGTTTCAGTTAAAATTAAATCGAGTAGGTTTTCAGATATCAGGCCCTTTTAGCCCTAATGTTGAGCAGTCAAACCAAAGACCAAATTGTATACAGTGCCATGCAAAAACTACAAAAACATGGTTGCAACCCTAACAATATTTTAGCCACCTCTGATGAGAAATTAGGAGAACTCATTTATCCAGTAGGCTTCTGGAAGGTACTATTTTCACACTAAACCACAATTATTCAATTATCACTCTAGACCAAAGTGAAATACATTAAAAAAACCACTGAAATCCTCAAAAATGACTACAATGGAGACATTCCAAAGACAGTTGAGGATTTGTGTAAACTCCCAGGTGTGGGGCCCAAAATGGCCCATTTGTGCATGAAAACGGCATGGAATGAGGTCACAGGAATTGGGGTAGACACCCACGTCCATCGAATCTCAAACAGGATTGGTTGGGTCAACACAAAAACCCCCGAAGAGACAAGAAAAAGTCTTCAAGGGTGGCTACCCAAAGACTTATGGGACGAAATCGGGCTTTTATTTGTGGGCTTTGGACAGCAAATCTGTCAACCGGTGAAGCCCCAATGTGTCACGTGCTTGAACAACACAGTGTGTCCTTTCACAAAAAAAGGCAAGAAATAATTATCACAGTCGGTAAAGTAGATTCCTGTAATTTGCGGACGTTTCTGTCACACATGGGCGACTCGTTACGTAAACAAAAGGGCAAAACATAATTATATTTCGCCACTCGTACCAAATTTTAAAAATAAAACTAAGACGGTAACGTAGATGTCTGTAATTTGTTGATGTTTCTACCAGGCATTGGCGTCTCGTTTAGTAAACAAAAGGGCAAGAAGGGTAAAAATAATTGTGTTACGCCATTGATTTCATGCGTCAAATGTCAATTTATTTTACGTTAAACTGTGTTTAATACTGTTATAATCACTTTTGACCTACGTTCTAATAAATAGAGTTATTCTTTACTACAGTTAAGTATTTTTTCGTTTAAGTCGATCACTTCTTTGCAAAATCTGTAATCCTGATAGTCGATAAAATCGGAAATGATAATATTGACACCCTTAAGCCCCGCCCTCTGTTTCCTTATCCAATCATACTTGGCCGTTTCTAGGGGCAACACACATTTGTTTACTAACGAACCTTCGGGTGAGGAAAAAACATGTGACACAATTAAATTAAATCTTAATTACTTACTGAAAATATTTTTGCAAACATACCAAATATTAGGTGTTAAAACACATTGCGAGACAAACCCTAATGAGTAATTTCGACGTTTTAAATTTTGGTTTAGGAACGAAATAAGTTTCGGTATGACTACTGTATTGGCCCAAGGAGTGGGAAAGCAGCCCCCAGGCCATAAAAAGTCTTCTCTGAGATCAGATCGATAAATTACAACGACTTGTTTCCCATTTTCGGTCATTTTGACTAAACTGAGTTGTGTTAAATCAGTCCGGGGCTGTATTTTCGCCCCGAATGTGTCCACAAGTAGCGAAATAAATTTACAATGCTCGACAGCCCCCATATTGAAAAAATGTTGACAATCTAAAATCACAACCTAAAAGAAAAATGACAATTGGGTTCGGGTAATTCCCACAACCTCGCCATAATGAGTATCTAAAAAGTTTCGAATCTCCTTTAAAACCCCATTAACGCACTCTGAATACAAATTATGGACGAAATAAAAGCCCCCACAGCCCTTTTTCGTCGCAATCCTCAAATCAAAATACCTGATTCCAGCATTCAACTGTTGGGTTACATCCACCGATTGCGTTCGCGACCATTTCACCATAATGGGGCTCAGGAGGGGCTCCAGGAATTTCAAGTATTGGATGGGGTTACGGGCATCGGGCGATATTTTCGATTTTTTTGTTATGGCAAAAGTCGTGCTGTCGTGAGAGCCTTAAAGACTGGTTTGATTTTGGCGACTTGAAAGGGGGCTCACCTGGAATTGCCAGATGAATGAGTGGAAGCTCGCGCAGGCTTTGGGGCAAGTTGGTCATCCAAAATTCCATTTCCACGACTAGAAAATTTATAATGAGGTAGACTGGACAAAACTACATAATTAAGTGCGATAACGGGGCTTTATCGGGTTTTAATAAACATTTCGAGGTTAGGTTGGTGGGGGACTGCACGAATTAGAATTCCCATTTGATATAATTTGACCCTGAGTTTGATAAAGCTTTTGTTTATTTATCGAGGCACTCGGGTGTAAAATAATAATAAATAATTTATTTGGGTATATAAATCAGCGCAAAGTACACTCAGTGGTGCAAACCTAAACAAAACAAATAAGGGTGATTGAATTTTTAAGTGTCAAAAGCGCAAAAATCAATTTTTATCCGCAATGTTGCCAACATAACCATCATAACACGCAAAAATCTCAAGATTTTATTTGAGATTTTTTGGTGGACTAAAAACAGAGATATTGAATTAATTTATGCCAGAACAATTTCTTTGGGGTTAATTCTCGTGATTTTTCTCAATTTTGTCACTTGAGTGTAAAATAATAATTTATTTGGGTATATAAATCAGCGCTAAACACACTCAGTGGTGCTAACTTAAACGAAACAAATAAGGGCGATTGAATTTTTAAGTGTCAAAAGCGCAAAAATCAATTTTTGTTCGCAATTGTGCCAACATAACACGCAAAAATCACAAGATTGGCAGTTTTTAATCAAATAAGAGCCTTTTTATCACAGTAAATAAAAAAAATGGGCGATACACATTTTTTTCTCTCTCACACTTGTTTTTAAATGTCAAGTTGTGTCGTGTAGACAGTGTTACCAATCGTCAATTTGAAAAAATTCACCAACATAATCGTTTATTAAACTATGATTTTTGGACGTTTTGGGGGATCACAATGAATAAAAAACCAAACAGTTGTTTTTATTTTATAATTATTGTTTTATTCTTGCAAATTCGGCGATAAAAGTGACAGTCTGGGCACACAAAATTTAAAATAAAAATCCCCTAAATCTCTACGCATTTTTCTCTTCCAAATGATTACATTGTGAAAAATTGTTGTTTTTTCACTGTTTGCGTCTTGTAGCACCTCGAAAAAAATGCAAGAGGAGAGCTACAAAAACTGCGCAACAACACAAAACAATTAATACCGCCATACTGTCAATGTCATTTTGAATTTTGATTTTTTTAAATGCGTCTACAGGTTAAGGAACTGGGGAAATTTTTTGTTTATTTTTTTAAAAGCTTTTGTTTTTTTATCGAGGTACTTGGGTGTAAAATAATAATTTATTTGGGTATATAAATCAGCACCAAGTACACTCAGTGGTGCCAACCACAAGGGTGATTGAATTTGTAAGTGTCAAAAGCGCAAAAATCAATTTTTGTCCGCAATTGTGCCAACATAACCATCATAACACGCAAAAATCCCAAGATTGGCAGTTTTTAATCAAATAGAGCCTTTTTATCACAGTAAATAAAAAAAATGGGCGATACACATTTTTTTCTCTCTCACACTTGTTTTTAAATGTCAAGTTGCGTTGTGTAGGCAGTTTTACCAATCGTGAATTTGAAAAATTGCACCAACACAATCGTTTATTAAATTAAACTATGATTTTTGGACGCCCTGGGGGATCACAATGAATAAAAAACCAAACAATTGTTTTTATTTTGTCATTATTGTTTTATTCTTGCAAATTCGGTGATGAAAGTGACAGTCTGGGCACACAAAATTTAAAGTAAAAATCCCCTAGATATCTACGCATTTTTCTCTTCCAAATGATTACATTGTGAAAAATTTCTGTTTTTTCACTCTTTGCGTCTTGTAGCACCTCGAAAAAAATGCAAGAAGAGAGCTACGAAAACTGCACAACAACACAAAACAATTAATACAGCCATAAATAAATAAATGTCAATGTCATTTTTGAATTTTGATTTTTTTAAATGTCTACAGGTTAAGGAACTGGGGAAATTTTTTGTTTATTTTTTTATTATAGTAAATGGATCACAGTTTAGGTAACTAAAGTCCCAACACCTACAGCGTATTGTTTTCTCAATAAGGCAAAAATATCACATAAAAATTGTAAACAAGAAAAAATATTTATCTTAAAAATATTAATGACCAATAGGGGTCAAGGCATCCCCCACCGCGCTTTTGCCCCCTCCCCCTCGCACCTTATCGTTTAAACCAATCACAAACCTGGAAAACGCCCCCTCCTCGTAATCGACAAAATCCGAGATGATGATATTGACGCCCCCAGGCCCCGGTATTTTCCCATTCAACCATTTATGTTTTTCCCCCTCAAGTGGCAAAAAACACTGCTCTTTCAACGTACCTAAAACAGCCAGTGAGCCCCATTTCCACCACCTCTCGCAACTCACTAAACAAGTGCGTGAGCACGAAACACGTCGATGGGGTCAAAATGCACTGCGAGATGTACCCCATTTGGGGGTCCCGCTGCTTCAGCGTGTCGTTGAGAAAGGCGATGAGTTCGGGGATTGAGTCGGTGTTGGCCCACGGCGTGGGGAAGCACCCCGAGGGCCACAAAAGGGGCTGTCCGAATCTTGCGGCGTCCGATCTATAGACCACAATGGCTTGGTAGCGGCACTCATTGGTCATGTATTGGAGCGAGATGTGGTCCATGTGGTCCATGTAGGGGAGGAGTTTGTGTCCGAAGACTGCGGTGAGGAGTTGCATGAAGCGCTCATGGTGGGGCTGCTCAAAGGCGTAGAAGTGTTGGCAGTCGAGGATAACGACCTGATAAGGGGGCGATAAGACATGTTATCAGACAATGTGAGGGTACCTCAAATGGGTGCGTGTCGAGGAATGCTTTGATTTCGTCCAAAATCGCCCCAACTTCCCCTGAATACAACCCATGAACGAAATAAAACTTTTCCGAGTTTTCCTTGGTGGCAATTCGCAAGTCGAAGTAGCGAATCCCGAGTTTGAGTTGTTGGGTGGCTGTGGCGGCTTGGGTCTTCGACCAGCGCTCCATGAAAGTGGTCAAAAGGGGCCCCAGGAATTTCAGTTGTTGGAGGATGGGTTCGGCGTCGGGGGAGACTTCCGAGTCTTTGGTGATGCCGTAGGTCATGCTGTCGTGCGAGCCTGACGAGTTTTTTAATTGGTTGAGTGGGGGTAAGGGGGCTCACCTGGAATTGCCAGATTTATGAGTGGAATGGTACGCAGTTTTTGGGGGAGACTTGTCATCCAATATTCCAAGTTTGAGGCCAGAGGACTTGTCTTTGACATGGTTAGGGACACTTCGTGTTGCTTCATTGTGGGGACGGGGCGAAATGAGGGGAATTATCACAGATATGGTAATTTCATTGATTCTACCTGGCCATTGTTTGGGTTTTTAAAATGGGAATGCTGATTGTTATAAGTGGCAATAGCGCGAATTTCCATTTGACATAATTACACGAAAAAACGGAAATCACACCAAATTTGATATTTGTTCACCAATATCGACGATGTAAATTATAATTAACATGTAAATCGCGGTTTTTTATTTACGTTCTAGATAAATTTGTCCAAGTGGGATTGACAGTGTCAATTCCCATTTGTTATAACTCCCAAAACTAATGCAACCACAAATACACACATGTGGGTATGTATGCCGACTATTACCAACCTTTGGGGTGTTTTTCAAACCAAAAATAACCCTACCGTGTCACCCCTCATACATCTTAGATAAAAGCATAGATTTTACAAATATAAAATGAGGTAGGTATTTTGTTTGTCCTAAGTGAGATACGAGAATGACCATCGTCAAAATCAAATTTAACTAAACTATTCGATAGAACCTTTTATTGTTACGCATACTTTTCGAGATATTCACGTTAGAAATTTCCAGATTTGAATTTCCGCGCTTCATTGCAATTTGTTAAGGTTGGTCATAGTCAGCATACATACCCACACGCGTGTATTTGTGGTTGCATCAGTTTTGGACAAATTTATCTAGAATGCAAATAAAGAAGCGCAGTTTACATGTTGATTCTAATTTACATCGTTTAAAGTATTGTCGGGGGCGCTTTTAGTGGAATAATATCAAATTTGATGTGATTTCCAGTTTCCCGTGTAATTATGTCAAGTGGGAGTTCGCGCTATTGCCAATTATAACAATTAGCATTATCATTTTAAAAACCCGAACAATGGCCAGGTAGAATCAATGAAATTACCACATCTGTTATAATTCCCCTCGTCTATTCGCCTGTTCATCTATTCATAATGAAGTTGATAAATTCTCAATAATTGATTAACTAACTACACTCAGTAAAAATCAAAATGCCAATTGAAAAATAAAATTCATTTATTAATTCAACAAATATGGCATCACTACATTACTTTGAGTCATTTAAAATCACAATTAACACTCAAACGGTGGTTTAACATAATATAGGGAATTTCGCTATTTGGGGTTGGCAGTACAGGAGAAACACCGACTTTTCAATTAGTTTTATTTCAGTCAAAAATTAGAAAATCCAAAAAAGAAAACGACAAAACTTCAAATGTGAAACGTATTACTTAACTATAATCATAAATAAGGAGAAATACATCCGGAAATCAAGCGAAAAATGTGCTTAGATAACAGTGTCCCTTAGGAAGATAAAAAATATATTTTTTACAAGTTAATAGTCTAAGGCCCATTCATTATCGGCAAGAAATGCGTCAACAACTTCCTTCATTGCGAAATTGGGAATGAGCTGATCTTGGGTGAGTTTCACTCTAGTGACAGGATCAAAATGACCAACTCTCTAAAAAAAAAAAATAAATGAATTTCCATTTGTTTAATTTAATAATTTAATCACCTGGAGATGCTCCTCTAGGTCCTTTTTATCATACGTAATCCCACTTGGCGTTATCACAGGTTCCTGTAAAATTTCAAAACTGATTTTCCCGCACAAATAATCGGGCACTTCCCGTTTCTACAAAAGCAATGATTACACAATGTGCAAATGAGCGAAAAAACCTACTCGTCGCTTCTCATCAACTTTCATAAAAAGTGCATTGAGTTCGCTTAAATGCGAGTCCTGAAAATTACTCAAACTGTCACTTGGAATTACTCAAAACCCCCCACTTACGCATTTCTCCTCAATTTCGCGTATTTTCTCCTCCTCAAGCTCGCTTTCAAGTGCTTGACTTTTCACATTCTCGATTTGTGTCTCTTTGTCCCCCTTGACCAGTTTTGTGAGATACGTCAAAAGGTCGATTTCTTGGGCGATCCGTTTCTCCTCTTGGATCGAAAAGCGCTTTTTGCGGGCGGCCCTCAACTGCGCCGCTATATCATCCCCAAAATTGAGTTTTTGTTCTTTCGCTAAATCGGATGCTGAAACGGGGGGTTGAGACTGGGGCAAAGCCGCGGTGGTGAACTCACCCCGCATGAGGTGTTTGATCGATTCGTCGTAATTCTCCGTCTCTAGCAAGGCTTGGCCTAGGAAAAAGTGCCCCTTGACTAAATTCGAGTCCATGTCCAGGGCCCTCCTGCAGTCGGTGCAGGCTTGCTCCCAACGGGCCAATTTCAAGTAGCAAAGCGCCCGGTTTGTGAAATAATGGGGGACATCGGGATTTTTAATCTAAAAATTGACATAACCTCACTTTTGGCAAAAAAGTGGGCTAAATCACGCACAATTGCCTTACTGTAACAATTGATCGCTTCCTCGTACTTCCGGAGGCTAAATAAGCGGTTTCCTTGCTCTTTCAGCTCCTTATCGGTGAGATTTGCGGTTGAATACATGTGTTTACTCATTTTCGAGTCGTGAAAAAAAAAATCAAAACCAAACAAAAAACATCATAAAAATAAAATTACGTTATCTAATCTAACAGATTAGACCAACTTTGGGTTGTTTTTTGCGTTTTAAAGTGATTTTAACGAGAATTATGCATTTTTTATCAAATGACATTTGACAGATGATTGTTATTATAGAGGGCGCCACAATAATAATAAATTGCACAAAAATACTCAATTAAGCAACAAAAAACTCATTTAATGAAATAAAACAAACTAGTTTTACGCCAAGTGTGAAATAATATTGATCCGCGACACGAAACTGACTCAAATTGAAATTTCACGTTGGACGTGTCTGAGGTCACGCAATTACGAAATACCGGGACTCGGGCCAAAACTATTTCTAAAATCAGGTTCAAACAGACAGTTCTAGAAACTGTCTTTCTGCGAAAATTGGGTCAATTCCAGTCCAAATTTGAGTTTTCGGTGTGTGAAGTTACGTCATTGACGTAGTCAAATGTCATTGTTTTAACCTCAATTCACTCGGTGAGTTTTTTTCGAATTTTGGCTCAAATTTCGCTCATTTTTGCAGATAATGCGTCTGTGTCACTATTTCCTCGTGGGTTTCCTGTTATTCCGTGCGAGTTTCGCGTCCAAGTACGAGGACGTGTACGATAATGAGTTTGCAGAGTTTGAGGATTTTGAGGCCGAGGAGGAGGTAACTGGGGGCGAGAGTGTGCCCGAGGGTGAGTTCAAGGAGTCTAGTCACGAGAGTATCACCGATGACGATCAAGACATAATAATTGACGACGATGATTCGGAATTTGAACATTTCCAAGACTTGGAGGAGTTTGAGGGGTTTGAAAACAAGGACGAAAAACCGGTGACGGAACCAAAAATCACCATAACTAAAGTCCCTATTCACTTCCGGGCAAATTGGGACAGTTACTGGCTTGAGATTTTAATGGTGGCAGGCCTGGTGGTCTATTTCATAAATTTCGTCACAGGGAAAAGCAAAAACACGAAAATTGCCAACGTTTGGCTACAAACCCATCGCCAACTCCTCGAAGACAACTTTTCGCTAGTCGGCGACGATGGGGCTTTGGAAAAGACCGAAAACGTGGGCTTCGTCAAAGAGAGCGAAAACATTTTCACTCTGTGGTGTAGTGGCAGGACTTGTTGTGAGGGAATGTTGGTAGAACTGAAACTGATCAAGGTAAGTCAATTCTCATTACTTCGAAATCCCATTAGTTCGAATTTTTGAATTTAGCGCCAAGACTTGGTGGCGATCATTTCGGGGATGATGCGCCCCACACTGGACCAACTCCATATTAAAGTCACAATGAATCGGGACGATATGGACAGTTTTGTGTTTTGCGTAGCATCGAAAAAAACCGCTTTGCATTTGTCGAAAGAAATGGCCGACTTGAGTGTGTATTGTCCCGAGCGTCGCCCCGGGGAAAAACACAATATCCCGGCCTGCTTTAACGTAATGAGTGAAATTGCCGAAGCGACTTCGGCCATGTTGGATGCGAAAGTTGTTGCCGTGTTGAATAAATACACCGAATTTGTTGATTATATACACTTTTCGGACCAGTATTCTGGACCGAAACAACAGGAGGATACGGGGGTGTTGAAATTGCCTGATAACCAAAAAGTGTTGATGTTTGGGTTTAATATGCCCTTGAAAGGTGTGGCTTTGGAGGAGGCGATGAATCAACTTAAGCCGCTCCTTGTCATGGTGTTTTACTGTATGGAAAAAGTCAAAAAGTATAGACTGTCGAGGGAAGGTAAAGTCCGTTTTTTTTTTATTTATGCATGTGGATTAATTAATAATTTGAAAGATGTACCAGATGGCTGCTATCTCGTTTCAACATTTGTAAATAGGCTTGTTGCGCTCTCGCACGTATTTGGGTAAAAAATGCAGTGTTGCCAGTCCAAAAACAATTAAATTATTTTTTTATACTGTCGAAGATTCACGTCGCAAATCTGTTCAAAAACGTGCTTCAACGCTCGAAAAATTCAAAAATTCTATTGGCAACACTGAATTAGTGGTAATTCTTTTAAATTTGTGGTATTAGAATGTTTCAGGTGACGGCTAAATCAGCAGTCAAGGTTGCCAAATTAAATTTTAAATTTGACACCAAATCATTTACAATCACCCGATATTTACGTTTTTACTTGAAAAACAGTTTAAAACACTTAATAAAGGCAAAAATAATGACTTAATTTGATTGTTTTTTGGTTTGTTTTAGCAAAATCTTGCAATTAACACCATTTTCGACCAAATTTTCTATTTTTCGTCCTATTTTTTTGACAAAATTTCACTCAAAAAGAGCTAAATCGAAAGAAATAAACGAAATAACAATCAATTTAGATTTATTTTTGTTGTGTTTAAGCATGTTTTGACAATATCCTGCAAAATAAATGAGTCTGGTTCAAAAACGAACTAAATTGAGCGAAACAAGCTAAACTAATGTCCCTAACAATCTAATTTGGTAATTTTTCAGACAATTTTAGAAAAATTTGGTGTTAAAATTTGTTTTTATCTTGAAAACGCTCTTAGTCACTCGAAAAAGACAAAAATAGAACTCTTTTTAACCTAATTTGATAATATTTCAGCTAAAAAATGTGCTAAAACACTCGAAAAAGGCAAAAATTATTTGATTTTTTCATTTAATGCGGTAATTTTTGGTTTGTTTTAAAAAAATCTTACAAAAATATAAGATTTTAGTTGGAAAACGTGTTTACAAGTTTAAAAAAAACAGTTTCCGATCAAATTTTTCGATGTTTCTGCTTATTTTTGATTACTTTTTACTGAAAACCTAGTTACATTAAGGGAAACAAAGAAAATACCATGAATTTTGATTTGTTTTTCTGATTTTGAGGCGCGTTTTGACAAGTTCTTGCAAAATAAATTGTTAGTTTTAGAGCCAATTATAGAAAAATTGTTTTCATTTCATTTTTAGTAAATTTTCTGTTTGTTCTTAAAGAATTTTTGCGTTTTTGACCAAAACACGTATTGAAACGCCCAAGAAAGAGAAAAACAATATAATTTTGGAATTAATTTGTTAATTCTTTGATTTCTTTTTGTATAATATGGCAAAAAAATGAGGCTTTAGTATAAAAACATGCTTGAGAAAGCTATAAATAACACTATTTTTGACATATTTTTATTTATTCATTTTTTTTATTTAATTTTTTCTCAAAAATCAATTACATCAATTACATTACAGGCAAACTATAATCAATTTACATTCGTTTTTGTGATTTAACACTTGATAAAGACAAAAATAATGACTTAATTTGATGTTTTTTTGGTTTGTTTTAGCAAAATCTTTCAATTAACACTATTTTCGACCATATTTTGTATTTTTTGTCCTACTTTTTTTTTGACAAAAAGAGCCAAATCGAATGAACTAGTGATGTCAATTTCAATGTAATTTGGTAATTTTTCAGTCAGTTTTAGCAAAAATTTGACTGTAGTAAAAAAAACTTTCTGAAACACTCTAAAAATGCAAAAATAACACTAGTTTTGGCCTAATTTAATAAATTTTCGGTTTGTTTTTAATGAATTTTTACAAAATAGTTCTGTTTCTGGCTAAAAACATACTAAAACGCTCAGAAATTGACAAAATAATGTATTTTGTGATCCATTTTAGCGATTTTTTTACATTGTTGATTGAAATATCATTTAGAAAAACAAAACTCTTTCTCGATTTTAGAACTTGTTTTGAGAAAATTTAGCATTTGAATTTCTAAAAAAATGTGCAAAATGCTCAAAAAAATACAATAAAAAAGTTTTTTTTTTGATTTATTTTACTCTATTAATAGTTAAAAAAATCAAATTAAAAAAATTAATTTTACTAGCATTTGGGCGCATACTCGATTTAAAAAAGCTGTTTCAAAATACATTAATTTTCTGCTGTAACTACAGTCACATCGTGTTACAAAATACAGTGGGGGAAACTAAAATTGCGTCAAGAAATACCGGCTTAAAAAATTTGTAGACTTGCAGAAAACAATTAAAAATTCCTTTAAAAAATGCTTAGATTTAAAAAATGTCAATCGTAATTTTTTTAAAACATCGTATTGCAAAAGATAGTGGGGGAGACAATGTCTTTGTAAAAAATGTCTAGACAATATCTAGATTTGCAAAAAAGCCGTTTAAAAATTTCTCAAATAGAAATGCTCAAATTTAAAAAATGTAAATTAAAGTTAAATCAGTAAGTACTTACCAATAAAAATCACCAAATCTGATGAAATTTCACCAGACCTGGCAACACTGCCAAAATGTCAAAAGCTGTCAAATGTTCTTGATTCGCACTACCCCCACCAGCAAATAAAAAAATAGACTGTAATTGTCTCCTTGATTTTTTTGCGATTTAAAAGCGTTTCCTTTTTATGTTTAGGTAAGACAAAAGCCGACAAGAACCGGCAACGTGTCGAAGAGGCGTTTTTGAAATCCACGCACCAGGCGCGAGCCGAGGCAGCGGCGGCTCGTCGGGAGGAGAGACGCCGTTTGGAGAAGGAGAAAGTCATGGCTGAGGATGACCCCGAACGTCAACGACGTTGGGAAGAAAAAGAACAAAAAAGACAAGCCAAAAAACGTGCTCCCAAAATGAAACAATTAAAAGTGAAAGCGTTGTAATTCGTTGCCAAAGTATTGTAGTTTTTTCAGGGTTGGAGTAAATAAACTTGTCAACTTTTCACTTGTTTTATTTGTAATCGATATGTACCCATTATGTTATATATTCCATTGGCTTTTTTCTATATAACTTTATTATAGGTTTTTTACTCAACAAATCATGTACAAAATCATTTTATACATGATTCTCGAATATGTTACATATACGTACATTTTTATATTTTCTATGTATATAGCAAGTATATAATGTACACTTTGGGGGGTTTCGAACGCAATTCCGCCATTTTGGTAAAAACAAAAACGCCATTTTGACGGTGGTCGCGTCGCCATGGTAACTAACAAATCTAATCAAAATATCATAATGGTACATTGAAGGTTACATTTCTAGGGCCGCCATATAAAATCGAAAATTGCAAAGTATTTATTTGTCGAATGATTGCGAAAATTGATCACACGATCAAAAAATCAATTTGATTGTTGTGCATCGTCCAACATAATATTGCTGTAAAAATCCGAATCTCCAAAAAACGTGATAAAGCAAATAGGATCAAAATACAGGCACGCTAGGTTATAATAATTTTAGCAAATATTACTTTACTTAATACGTTCACGTTGCACGTAAGGACGCAACGTAAAATTAATTATACAACACTTGATTTTTTCTTTTTTGATCAATTCCGGTTTGAGACGACAGAGGGCGCAATTTTGATTCAAGTATTCTGTTTTGATTGTGGCGCCCTCTGTCCGCCAACAACGGTTTACTGTCCCAATTGTAGTGGGCTGAGCACAATACCGCTATGTGTTTGTTTATCACTGCTTTCTTGATTTTTAATCCCATCACTACTTTCACTATTGTCACTCCGTTCGATGACAACACTTAGACAAGTCTCAAGGTCATTGGTCGTCCTTGAATTATCGACAACAGTCGTAGCGTTATCATCACTATCATTACTTGAAACACTCTGTATATCGTAGATGAGTTCAAGATTTTGTAATTCGATGACGGAGTCTTCTGGGGGAAGATTGATCTGTGGAAGGGTGATCTTGTCTTCTGTACTGGTGCTGGGTTGGGGCTGGCTGGGGGGCACAATGGAGACCTTTTTCTTGTTTTTGGTGAGGAGGGCGGTGCTGTCGACGTGATCGCGCGTTTTCGGGTATCTACGGTCATGATCGTGATGATGATTCGAGATGTGGGGGGAATACCTGGAAGTGTGGGGACAGGCGGTCTTGAGGCGGGTCTTCTTCCGGCGGCGGAGACACGTGGAAGGGCAGGCGCAGAGAAGAACGCGGATTAGGCAACAGAGGAGGCCGCAGGCGATGAGGGTGGGGCCGATGAGGCGGAGTTCGAGGGTTTTGAAGCCCTTTTCGCCGGTGCCGACGAAGAATATCACGCTGCCGATCGCTGTTGTGCCCAAGCCGACGTAGAGGAGGGCGTTGGCGGCGGCGCTTTGGTGGTAAACGCTGAAGAAGTCGTCGTCGTCGGAACCAGTGCCGTAGGTGGAGTCGTGGATCTGCAAAAATCGCGATCAAAACATTTCAGAAAATGAGCACGAAACGAAATCATTTTAGTTGCAACTAAAAAAAAAGATAAATTTTAACTCAAAACTCAAAAAAAATTTTCTTTCATGATCGTTCCCTTAGATACGTAAGGTGAAAAGTGGTATATAACTAAATATATAATTTTTTCAATTTATATACTTGATTTGACATCTGTCAAAATTAAACTCAAAATTTTCAATAAATTCACGTTTTTTTATGAAATTTCGCTGACGATTGTGAAAAATGTTCGATACACGTGCGCTGTCTTATTTTTCAGGTCTTAGACCGAATTTTGCAGCACGAAGCGAAGCTGAGTGCTGCAGTGGAGGTCGAATTTGATAGTGTCCTTGTATCGAAAATAACTATTTTTTTAACTCGACCCACATTTCTGGGACTTTTACATCGTTCTTGAACTACTCTAAGTCTCTTGGACCTCTAGAAGTGTATTTGGTGTAATTCTAAAGTTTTTAATTTTTTCGATTTTTGCTAACATTTTCGACGATTTTTGGTACTCGGAGAAGATATCAGCTAATAACTTTTAAATTTTATTGATAACTGTCTTATATTTGGTATCGTTGGAAAGCATTTTTAATTTCCTATCTTATAAAAAAAGATCACAGTTCTGCGATAAATAGTTATTGAGAAAATCGCTGATAAAGACAAAAATAGCAAAAATATTAATTCGGCGATAACTTCTAAATTATCAAGAGTTTTGCGGTTTTCTCGATTTTACATAAGTTTAAGACAAAATATTAATCATTGAGGTACAGTTTTGAGGCAATTTACAAAATAAAAAATAGTAAAAATTTGTGAGCGCCATCTTCTCTAGTTCCGCCGTAATCGGCGTTTGAAAATTCAATTTTTTTTGCGAGATATTGACTTGGTTTTAGCGTCAATTGATAGATTTTCTTACGCTAATTACGATGGTGTTGAGCTTTTTGCTCTAAGTCTAATAGTTTGGCCGTAGTCGTCGTAAAAATTTTCAAAATTGTTAAATTTTAAACGCGTTTTTCTAAGAAACTATAAGACTTGGAGCAAAAATCTAAAAACCATTAAAATTAGATTAACATTATCTATTTATTGGCGCAAACCGGAAGTCGCTCCGGGTTATGGTTCCGGGTACAGAGCCATTTTTAGTTTTGATCAAAAAAATTCATATCTCAAAAACTATGAGTCTTAGGACAA